AAACTAAAGAGTTATAATCATCCATATCCATGTTCAAAGAATAATTCTCCTAATATGAACAAGCAAATGCACTAACTTATTTTACAAATTCTTAAATGAAATGCAATTCTAAATGATATGATTAACACATATAGAGGGTATGGGATAGAGGATAATATAATAGAAAATATCATGCAAATGAGAAAAGATCCTAAAATAAAAATATGCATGAAATATATGAATGTCATACAAAATGAATCTAATGCACGAATAATCTAAGGGTCTTACGTTGGACTAACCCATTTTTATAAGTTCCCACTAGCGTTGGACTAGTGAGAAACGGAAAAAGGGCCACAACTAGCGTTGGACTAGTGTGGTGACGTCATGCATTAATAATATATAGTAAAACAAATAAGGCATAAATTAAAACAAATAACACATAAAAGCAAATAGCACATAACACGTAGGCATAATATCTAGATGCAAAAATCCTAAGGAAAGCGGGTAAAACATATAACACACAAGCATGCAAACACACAAGCGAATAAAAGCAAATAGAGATTTAACTATTACATTCGGGAACCCTAATTACAATCTAAAGGGGTAAAGAATGAAATAAAATAATAACTTAACTATTACAATTTGGCATTTAAATGCCTCTCAAATAATCAAAATTTAAATTAAAGTAAATATACAAAATTAAAAACAAATAAAGTGAATAACTAAATAAAATAAATAAAACCATTCAAAAACATGCAATTGTACACATAAAATCACATATAAGCACATAGGAAGATTTAAAATGGCACAAGAAAATACCTCCCTTGATGTAGTGACTAAATGGAGTCAAATTGTCCTATTTATACTCACAATGAACAAAAGAATCATGTCATCAATTTAATTGAAAAAACAATAATAATAAAAGTACTAAATTCACACTAACATGTCAAACGTAAAGAAATTTAAAAACATCTAAAAAAATCACATGTTAAATATATTCAAAAGTAATATAATTAGCTATTAAAGAAAAGAAACAAACATAATAAAAAGAATCAAAATTCACTAGGGACTGAATTGCAAAATTTTTTTGAGGGGTAAAAATGCCAATTTCCAAAGATTAGGGGTCAAAATTAAATGAAAGATAAAGCTCAAGGACCAAAGCGCAATTAATTTAAGAACTTAAGTGAAAGAAATTTAAAATATTCTGGGCTTAAGTGAAATTACTCCAAAGATCAGGAGATAAAGTGCAATTTCGTTATCAGATTCCCTGGCCAAACGAGCCTTTGGGCTATTTTCAAGACTTCTTTGGGCCCGGATGCCTTAAGCCCACCTGAAAGCTTCAAGAATAAGGGACGGGCTAGCCTATTATTTTTGTCAAACAACCCAACCAAAATGCATGGGCTTCAACTCCCAAGCCGATACTTAAAACCCAAAAAAAAGTAACCAAAGCCCAAGTCAAAACCCAAAACAAATAAACCAAACCCACTTTGACAAACCCAACCAAATATTATTACCCAAAAACCTAAACCATAATACTAAACCCAACAAGATAAACAAATCAACTAAAATTCTTAAACCACAATTATGATCTAAAATCCAAAATCAATCTACCAAAAAGTACTTAAGAAAAATAAAAAATGATTAAAATTTAAAAGTGCGAAATGGAATCAATTGCAAAAGTGTTTAGGCTATAGTGAAATTAATTAAAAATTTGAAGGGGCAAAATGCAATTTTGGAACATGAGGCCTGTACGAAGAAGCTTTCTTCTTCCTCACAATCTGAAACTCTTCACAGCTGGTGGCCATGGCCTCTGGCGGCGCCACCACCGGCAAATTTTTCGGTCACAAAATTTCATCAGAACATACACCCCACTCGATTTTTTGCGTAGATTCCATTTTCGGAATTACTTTTTACAAAAAATGAATCAAAAGTGGCGAAATTGCCAAATTATAGCCGTGATTTTTATTTTTTAAAAACACCCAAATCTTCACCAAAAATCATAAAATTTATACTACAACAATCCTTGTGATTTTCACAACATAACTATAAATTGAAATAAATAAAAACAACACCAAATATTGCAACATTAAATCAAAACAAGCCCCCTAAAAATGACAATAATAATAATAATAATAATAATAATAATAATAAAAAGCAATAGAAAACACAAATTAGCAACTAAATATGCTTACAATATAATTAAAAAAAATAAAAATATAAATGAAAGGAGATACCTCTATGATAGCATTAATTCCTTTTCCTGAGAATTTGATGAAATTTTGAGCCTTCAACCATTTTTATTGGCCTTGCCCTGTCCAAGAGAAAACCTGAGAGTGAGTGTTTTATTTGCTAAAAATGAGAGGGAGAATCTGAGAGAGAGAGCCGAGAGATTTTTTTTCTTCCCTTTCTTCTCCAAAGCTCGAGAGATAGCCGAGAGAGCCCAGGGACTTTTCTTCCTCCTGCCTTTGTCCGAGAGAGTCCAGAGAGAGAAGTTGAGAGAGTTTTTTTTTCTTCCCTGTTTTGTCCGTTGGGACCTCCAGAGACTTCCTTTGCAAATTTTCTTCTTCTTCTGTTGAACTTAGTCGAGAAAATTGAGAGAGTTGAGAGAGTCGAGACCGAGAGGAGCCAGGGACTTCTTGGGCAATTTTTTCTTCTTTTCTCTTAATCCATCCGTTGCCTTCTTCGGATTCTTTAGTCAAAGAAAGAAAAAGAAAGAAATCATCATGATGTTGGCGGCACCATGATGATGGTGGTCATCATGATGCCACCACCACTTTTTTTTTTAAATGATTTTTATTATTTTTTTAAAAATTTTAAATCAAACCTGTAAATATAATAAAAATTGTAAATTACAATACAAGAAAATAAATAACTCATTAAATAGAAAAAAATTCAAGAAAACATTAAAATTTGTCAAAATTTTGGTGTCTACAAAATATATTGCCAAAATACTCCCGCGACCAAAGTTGGATTGCATGTTTAATGAGCCGTAATTTGGCTACCAACCGCTGCAACGAGCGCCCCAGGCAACATCTTGACCAACTCATCCTAATGACATCCAACAATTCTGCTTTCGAAGTCCAAACGTTTAAGAACCGAAAAGGTCTAGGCTTGTTATCAAGTCTAGTTGAAGCTGATAAAAGGAGGGGGGCATGATCCGATGGCTCTTTGCCTAGGTGTCAAACTCCAAAATTCATCCCTATTAGAGTCACAGTCGGACTACATAGCAGTCCGTCTAGTTTGATTCCAAAAGCTACATAGTAGTCCATCTAGTTTGATTCGAGCTCGACCACCTCTATTGTTATACCATGTAAAACATGACCCTGAGAATCCTGCATCAAATACTCCAGCCCTGGACATAAATGATCTTAGTTCCACTCCTTCATCAATCCGAAAAGGCAGCCCACCCCTCTTCTCTTCCGCACTAACAATGGTATTAAAGTCCCCCACCACCAACCATGGATCATCCCTTGGTTTATCCGCTAACAACGCTGACTACAACGGGGCTCGCTCTTGCTCTGTACACTTTGCATGGATGAATGAAAAATAAACGGGAGCCGACAGCACCTGAGTAGAGATTCTAAGGGAAAGGTGTTGAGGAGATTCCCCAACATGAGCACGTTGGAAACCATTTTGATAGAACACCCAGATAGACCCCTTCTGATTAGCCATCCAACCATCCATTTTGAGACGGGCACACATCATTCGGATGTCACACGACGAAGTCTTAGGCTCACAAATAGCCACTAATTGAATCGAGAACTCAAAAATGATCTTTTTTAACCTACGAAAATTTGGAGTACGTGAGATACCTCGAATATTCCAGAATAATAAATTAATCATCAGATAATGCAGAGAAGGAGTTAGAGCACACCTTCGACTTCGAGCATAAAGAACGATCAGTTGGAACTCGAGAATGAACACCCTTCCGCTTAGATTTATCAACTAGCTTAACAGCATTCCCAATATCAGCCTTCTCCTGAACCTGTTGAATTATTGGGTCAAGGTTAAAAATATCTATCACCAAGGAGCTAGACTCACATTGCCGTTGGACTCGTTGCCCCCGCGGCGATAAGCTGCCAGCCCTTTGTTCAGCCATGGAGATATCCTCCTCCTCCAACTGCCGTGTAGAAACCATCTCCTCCTCTCCCTCAACTGCTGCCCCAGGGACTGCTACAGCACTTCCATCCACCGACCCAGTAGCCACAGATGGTTGCACCTGCAACTACTGGAAAGACATCCGCGCGCAATCAAAGGATCCCGCACCAGCCTCTCATGGCCTGCTGCCGCCCCTCCCTCGCTGGCTCCATCAGCCGCTAGCATCACGCCGGTTCCAGCAGGCACCCGCTGCTGCTCTTTCCCCAAGCCCATAGCCTGCGGCAATGCCAACCCCTCCCTAGAGTCTTCCAGCGCTGTTCGCTGCCCTGTTGCCGTCCCCTCCTCCCTCAAAGGACTGACCCAACCAGCCTGTTGTTGCCGCACACTGACTACGGCAACCCCCCAGCACTTGCCCCTACGCAACCCACAGGAGAATCCCCATCCACAGGCTGCAAAGAGTCCTCTTGGGCAGTCTCCTTTCCCTTCGCGGTAGACACCAGCGGGACGCCCTCAACAGGCACAGGTGAGCTACGCACAACATCACCCTTCTTCTCCACCTTCAAAGTAGGATGAAGAACAAAGCATGTAACCCTGTCATGGCCTTGCCTGAAGCAATGGTCGCAGTATTGGGGAAGACGTTCTGGGATAAGTTGCTGCCAAAAGCCACCATGCTCCCTATTACTAATCCATATCCACGAAGGGAGAGGTTGTCCCAAATCAATCTCCACACACACCCTAGCTACACTAGGGCGCACTCCAAAAGCTGTTGCAGAGTCCACGAACAGAGCCTTACCCATTCAGCTCACAATCTGAAAGAGACACTCCTTGTGAAATAGATGGATTGGCAATTTCGGCAATTGGAACCAAACCGGCACCACCGAAGGCTCACGATCCACATGGAAAGCGGCTGACCATTTAAACACTCACAACGGGACTTCATGAATATACCAAATCCCACGAGACCAAAGCCTAAGGAAATCAACCTCGTTCCCCAAGTGGATGAGAACATGTCTAGAGTCAAGTAAGCCTACCGACGCTGTGTCCTTGAGATCCAATGCCAGAAAAAACTTTCGTATAACCTCCATGCTAGGTCTTCCCTTGGAGAATTTGTTGACGAGAGCAAACGTAAATGGAGCGGACAGAGTTTCAAGATCGTCCTGTGCAAAGGATATAGCGGGCTCGCCCCTATGAGAGGACAGCGTAGCCTTGACATTGAGCAGAGGCTGTTCCGACTGAGAGAAGAGTGCAAAGAAAGACTTCTTCGCAAAGGTGGGAGAGAGCGAAGATGGTTGCCCCCAGGCATCAGCCGGAGGGTAGGCATGGCTGCCATGCTACAAGCGAAACCCTAGGACGAAGAAACTTAGGCAGCAGACGGCAACCCTAAAGGAGACTCTTTTTTATAAGATTCAAGGTATTTCTCATTAAATAATGTTTTTTTATTTGAGTCAAGTTCTATGTTTTATTAGGTAATTTCTTGTTTGCATTGTTTCTTATTCGCCATGTTAATTAGAGTTATTTGGAATAATTTTAAGGTCTATCTTACATGTGCCCATAGGGCATTCGTTAAATATATTTCAAGTGCCATATTTTTAGAAATGTAATATTGATTAGAGAAAATAAATAAATATAAGGGAGGGTAGGTAAAATTAAATAAGGAAAGTATATAAATTCAAGAGAGGTTAATAATTGTGAATATGCTTATATATATGGTAGGTTAAGTAAATGTTAGGTGTGTTAATAAGTGTCTATTGGACACTCGTCAGAAAAACCTTAATTTTAAAAGATTAAGAAAATTAGGGCCTATAGTGACTAACTGACTATTATTGGGTGTTTACTATTGTCTGTCCTTTTTCATTGTTTGAAAAATTAATAATCTTTATTGTTCTTTTCTTTCACACATATTTTTATATGATTAGTTAAGCCCCTTAATTTTTTTTGGGTAAGATAAGTCCCTTAATTCAATAGTCAATACTAGAAGTAAAAATATTAAAGGTCCACACAGTTGCTTGCCACAAGGAAAAAACAAACTAATATTCTATTTTCGGGCCAATGGCCCTTGTTGATTTTCCTCTAAACCCAGAAGACAGTAGCGTAGGGGCCTAAGTAAATTAATTACAAACAACTAAACAACATTTAAAAAAACTCTGGGAATTAGTTAATTAAGCTTTGCAGCTGCTAGGGAGTTGAATTTGAACTTCAAATTTCAAATCAAATAGATGAAATTGGTACTAAGACCTTGTCTGGATTGCAAGTAACGATGTAATATGTAATATACATGAGATAGAAAAGTGATTGAAAGATCTGTCAAGGAGAATTTTCTGCTAAAACTTATAGTCCAAACATGGGCTAAGAAACGAATTACAATGTTGTTGAATTTTTATCCATATAGATTCATCCATTGTAGATTTCTTGTAATCATGTCAAAAAAATACAACCACTAAAATATCTTCTTGAATAAATTAAACCCCTTACAATCAAATTATATTAATTGGTATTTATAAATTTGTATCCAAAAGACCCGCATCAGTTTATGCTTGCCTCTTTCAGAAAAGGAAAACAAAAGTTTGTTCCTTGACAAACACTTTTACCATACAACGAAATCAAATTAAGATGGTCCAATTCTGTGTCCAAATAAATCATTCAATGATTATATCCACTAACAGTCCTTAGGATTCCAAAGAAATCATGTTTGAATTCCTGTGCATGAAAATGATCATTGGGGATAATCTGCGTATAAACATAGAATGCAACGCAAGCGACAGCAGGCCCTGCCCAAAACACCCAGTGGCCATCCCATAAATGGCCTCCTCTCACAACTGCTGGACCAAAACACCTAGCAGGGTTGATCCCTGCGCCGCCATAACCCTTAGCAGCAGTGACCGATGTTGATATGAAGACAAGAAGACCAAGAACAGTTCCAACAATTGCTAAAACCCGAACCAGGCCGATAGAGTTTTTCTGGCGATGATCATACGCCATCCAAAGTGACGCAAACAAGAACACGAAGCTGCAGAAGACCTCAAGCCAAAACGCCTGGGCAGTCCCGAGGCCTATTGTAACAGGTGATCCCTGCGGACCTGGTGTGACTATTGAGAGAGTGCAACCTCCAAGCGAGAAGGTTCTTTCTATATTACCGCTAACCACAGCTTTTAGTGCTAGCGCTCCAAGCACAGCACCTAAGCATTGTGCTATGATGTAGATTATGGCACGAGACATTGAGATAAGGCCGACTAATGCTGCAGAGAATGAGACGATGGGGTTTATGTGGCCTCCAGAGACTGGATGCACAGCTAGCAGTACTATTGTGATCATAATGGCAAGGACAATTGACATAATCAAGTTTGGCATTTTGACATCACTGTCAAGGGTTGATATCACTATGGTATCAATCAAGAAGACTAGAACTGCTGTTCCAAAAAGTTCTCCTACAGATGCACGCCAGACCTGCATCATGTTATCAAGTGAACTTGAATTCAGGTCAAGGAAACAGCAAAGTATATAAGTTGTGCTGTTATTCTTTATAGCATTTGGAACTTGTGACTTATATGTACCATTTGAGTTAGTAGATTTTTTTCTATAGAATAGAATTACTATTCTACTGTGCCTAATGAACACAAAAGGTGCATAAACTGAAATGGAAAGAGGACTACTAACATGTAAGGAAAGAAACTCGTCCAAGCCTAGCCTTTCACTTAGGCTGAAAGATTCTAGCTTCTTTTGCTCCGGTGTCCACTGTTCTGATCTGCAAAATTGTAACAGAATCATTAAGATAGCAATCAGTAACTTTGAGAATGAAACTGATATTGACGTAACAAGTAATAAGGTTCTGAATGAAACTGATATAGACGTAGTTTAGAAAAGACAAATTAAGTGCAAGTTGTAGAAGTTTAAATACTTACTGTGGAGTAGAAGACACAGGCTGTATGCTATTACTGGCGTAGCGGCGTTCTTCTTCCATACTCAGATATACATTTCCAGAATTGGCAGCCATTTATTGTATCAGAGACCCTAAACTTTTGCTACTATATGCGTATCAGTTACTTGCCTACATCATATGCTTTGGACATTTCCAGTATTTATGGCCACAAAGTTGAGAACTAGCGCAAAGCGGTTATCCAAGTGACTTGTGCTGCAGCTAAAATTATTGATGTTAATTATAAACCATTGTTCAAGCCTGAATCGTGCTGCATATATTATTCACAACTCACAGGTCAAAGTTATACAATATCTACAAAATCTTGTGCCAGAGAGAATCAGAATTTATATATTGGCCATGGTTCATTATGAAGTTATATATATATATATATATATATTTTTTGTCGACACAAGGGTGTGCGGTTCAATCCTTATGGGGCTTGACTAATTCTCTGCGGTCTGGGCCCGACGCCCCAACCCGACCCGAACACGTTAAGTGCGCGGAGGAATCTAGCGAAGCGGAGACTCGAACTTGTGACCTCAAGGTTCACTGGTGAGAGGCGCTGCCGCTGGACCATTCACGCGGGGCCATTACGAAGTTTTATATGCTTGGTGATTTTCGATATGTCTTGTATACTAATTTAATCCTTTATTTTGGCACTAATAAACTTTTTTATAGAGATAAATAATAATTGTGTTTACATGAGGCGATTTTAGGTGGATGTATAACATAAGGCTTTAATTAAAATTGTTTGGAATGCACTAGTGTTTGTGCAAGTTACTCTTTTAATTATAAGATAAGTTGAATATTAATATTCTATGTTGGCTTTTACGCTAAGACTATATTTTGGGACATTAAAAAAAGTTTTATGACGTTAACAAAGGAATGGAAGGAGTAGTAAGTCTATTGCTAGTAAACATAAAAAAAGTAATATGATATTAATAATGGAATGGAAGGAATATTAAGTTTGTTGCATAGAAAACGAATTAAGTAAAGGGCATGGCAAAATTATTAGCTGTTGCAATCTTGAAAGCTTCTTGTTATTTCAAGAAAAGCCTAGCAAAATCAGATTAAGATATGCCTTAATCTGTGCGTGAAGAGATATGGAGTTATTCTAATTCCAACTTACAATGATGTTAGTTGAAAATAAATGTACAAGCCTGAAACGAGGAGCGCACATTATTCTCAAGTCAAAGTTACACAAAACCTAAGAAATCTCATGCCTGAGAGGATCAGAATTTATATATTGTCCATGATTCATAACGAACTTTTATATACTTGGTGATTTTCATTATGCTTTACATGTTAATTTTATCCTTTATCTCAGCATTAATAAACATTTTATGGAGGAAAGGAATACTTGAGTCAATATGAGGTGATTTTAGGTGGATTTATAACATAACATTCAAATCGAATTGTGTGGAATGAATTAATTTTTATGAAATTTAACTTTTTAATGACAAAATGAATAGATTACTAATATTTTGTTCTTAACTCTCAAACTGTGTCTTTAATTTGTGACGTAGAAAAATGAAACTATAACATTATCAATGGGATTAATATTTATGGCACATACAAAAAAAAAAGGTCATGATAAGAGTATTAGCTGCTGTAATATTCAGCTTGTTATTATTCCAAGAAAAGCCAAGGCAAAACAGATTAAGATATGCATTAAAGGGTTCGTGAAGAGACATGGAATTACACTAATGAGTAGATGTATGCGTATTCCTTCTTTTTGCCAACTATGATTCCTTGATTAATTTCGACTATTTGACACATTGAGTATGGTTAAGTGAACACAAAGGTAGCCTCCTTGGCATGTTATCATTCTGGTTTACTCTCGCGTGCTTTCATGATTGTAAACATATGGTCGTCATTGGGATTTGCATTGCTGATATTTTTGTTACAATACTATTCTTTTGAAGAAAAAAATAAAGAAAGAATCTCCAATGTTGGCAAATGGAGGAGTTTGACTAAGTGGATAGCAAGTTTTCAACTCCAGAACACAGAGGTAGCTAGGAGGCATTTCATCATTCTGGTTTATCCTTGCAAGCTTTGATGATTGAAGATATATGACTTTCACAGGGATTTGCTTTGCTGGTGACTGATTAAAATACTGTTACATATTTGTAATGTATCAAGAAAGAATCCTCAACTTCAATGACCGCCGTATTATAGGGGATATCAGGATCCCAAACTTGTCGGAAAAGGCTTGTGCACCCTTATTCAGATATCTTTTGCTTGGAAAAGATCTGAATTAGAAAACTCGTCTGCCTTCATGGCTTCATCTATTTCTAGTCTTACATGGATTAGAAAAGAACTTATCCATTAGCCCTTTAATTATCTACAGTCATTCTGTACAAATCTTTGGTAGTTGAGCGAAGAATCTGCCAAGAATCTTAATCCAAATATTGAACCAGCCTGCTTGCACTAATTGGTAATAGTACTCATTATTAGCTAGCAACTGCAATACATGAAAAGGAAAGGTGTGGGACCTGATTTTTAAAGTTATAAATAAAGTTTCAGAGGAGATTCTGAATCTAATCTAGTACACTAGAAGAAAATCAGCTTTTTGTGACAACAAAAAGTCCTTACCGAAAACCAAATAGTCGTTATTATATGGACATAGTGACAACTTTTTCCGTTGTTATGTGGTTGTCACAAATTCAATGTCACAAATGGGTCTATGTGAGGATCCAAAAATTATTTTTATTTTATCTTATTTCTTTGAGTACATTTTCTTTACTTTACTTTATTTCTTAATTTCTCATATATTTTTTATAAGTGAGTCAAGTTTTTAAATTATTTTTCATGTATAAGATAGTGCATGTTAAATTCGTAGTGCATTATGAAAGTGGAACCCGCTAGTGAGGTGTGTGCGATAACTTTTTGCAGATTAGGAGGAGTTTTGTACAAAGGGATATTATTTTATAAGATGATAAGAGATAATTAGAGGTTGGTTAGATATTATAGCATTTGGGAGACAATAGGATGAGGATTAACCATAGAAAAGCCACTTGTCATAAAGGCCATGGTTCCTTGACTTTGACTAAGACTTTCTTAACCATTTATTAACAAAAAAATTGGCCAAAATCCTATCACCTTTCTTCCTCATTTGGCCGACTTTGAGCAAGGAAGAAAAAAAAGAGAGAAAACTTCATCTTCCATCACCAAATCTTGCTTGAATCCTTGGGGTTTTCAACTTTAGCTTGCAATCTAAACCATAAAAGGTGACATCTAAAGAGGATTAAGTGCTTTGGTGGAGTGATTTGGGAGGAAGAAGCACTTGATTTCCATATCTTCATAGGGTTTCAAGGTAACTCTATCAAGAAATTCTCTTTTCTTTTATAACTTGCATATGAGTAGAGTTAGGGCTTGATTTTGGTAGTTTACATGGAAAATTTCATGGTTTAAATTGTGATTGAAAAATTTCAGCTTTGGCGGCAAAATTTCAGCTTTAATATGATGATTTGAATTTGGCAATGATCTAGTAGCTTTGTCATGTGAATCTTCTAGCATTTATATGTTATTTTGGCTTGCCTATAGAAAATTTCCGCTTGTAGTTCAAAATTTCAGCTTAGGGTTTCAAAATTTCAGTTTTGTTATGGTTGGCTTTGAGCTAGATAATGGTCTATTTTGGGTAGCTTTTGTGGCCTTAAACAAGTGTACTTTATAGCCTATAACTTGTGGTTGTGATTGAGGTTGGATTGCTGCGAATATAAGTGTTGAATTTGCAAAGGAAAGTTAAGAAATCAAGGGTAAATTCTATCCGATTGGGAATCATCTTGGTTTCCTTTAATTGTGGGCTGATTTTGTGGTAAATTTGCCTAAGGTACTTGGTAAACTTTTAAGCCATACTTATGTGTGGAATTTTGGATGAAATGAGAGGGTTCCATGGATAGCTTTTCCTAATTGCTGGCTGTAACTTTACTTGTGTGGCCGAGTGGATAGTGATGTTTTCACCTTGTTTTTCTCCGATCTTTTTATGATAAGTTTTGGCCAAAACTTATTCCAAACATTGGTTGGACTTTAGTGTGTTAAACTTGAATAAAAGCTGTGAATTTTGGAAGGTGAAACCTCATGATTTTGCTTGTTCCATTGCTGAAATTTCTGGTAGGCAGGGCAGCCTTGTACCCTGCTATCTTTTAGCCTTAAAACCCTTAGTTTGGTAATCTTTTGGACACAATCTTGCTCATTTCACTTGCTAAAACCTTGAACAACTATGGTGTGTTGAATTGGAGTGAATATCATAACCAAAAGAGGTGCATTACCTTGTTTTTCTTCATTGTTCTGTTGCTGGAAATTTTCGCAGGAAACTCTGTGCAGCTTTGGAAAATTAGTTATAACTTCATGTAGAAAAGTCAAAATTGAGTTTCATTTATTGAGTTTGAAACTAAATTTAGAGTACTTTCTACCATGAAAATTTCAGAATTTTTCTTATTCCTATAAATATCTGTGATTTTCCAAAGTTGAACTGAATTTCCACACCTGTTCTGTTTTTCTACCGGATGAAGCAGCAATTTGAAACTGGAATTTGACTGAATTGTGGATAGAATCTTACAAATGTGTCTTCTAGGAAATGTTAATCCTCTGAGTCTATTTTTCCAACGGTATAAAGTTTATAAATTTTGGACTTAAGAAGCTTGAGATATGATTTTTCAAATAGCATCGCGCAAAACTGGAGAAAATTCTGTTTTTCAAAAGCTATTCTTGCTTTCATTTTCAACTTCAAGTTGGAGTTGTAGAACCATTTTGAGCTTGGTTTCATGATTGGAGTTCAGATAACTTGGTTGGTTTAGAAGTGTTTTCCTTTGAATATGATAGCTTGGAGTAGTGGGTCTCATGGCACTTTACATACGTGATTTTAGGACTTGAAGGTGAGGCCGGAAGTGCTCCTGAGGCAAACACTTGAGCTTGTTGCCGTGGTGAGTGTTCCAACTACATGTTCCATGCTCATTGTTGCTAGAAATTTGCTAGACTTGATTGACATTTCATAGGTCAGTGTGTACTTTATCGCACTTGACCTAACTTGACTAAACACTTGATATTGCACTCATGTATGTACAAGTAACTTG